ATATTTTGGGGGGGGGGGGGGGGGGTCGTCAGTATGAAACACCGAATTGTTCTTGGTTGGCCACTACTATTTCTCATCTAACTCTGTCCCCATCTCTCTGCCCTGTTCTTGATCCCTCCCTCGGCATTCGTTTGTGTTCGCCACTCTCTCTGAGTGCACCCTACAACGATCGACGTCCGCCATGTCTGTCTCCGTCCTGAGTTGCTCATACAGAACAAGCGCTCCAACCTTCGACTACATTTGAATCGTACCTTCTTCTTCTCCCTGGTAAACACCTCGATCATCTCAATCGATCTCCTGGCGTAGGAATGCCGCAAGTCCTTCACCGCGGCGTCAAACAGCGTCACCTGATGCCGACGCACGTGCGCACGAGGAGAGTTTTACCTTCTGGTACCAATTATCTTGCTTGGCTGCGTTGTGGGTCCTTCCCCCGCGTGTTGGAAATTACCATCGTGCACCGAACAAAACATTCACATGATATTTTTCGTTTTTGTGAGTCTTTTCTTGTACCCCCTTCCCCCCTGGCCGGCTCCCCACCCCGTCCTTTCTACCATGTCTCCGGCTCACCTCCTCCTCCTTCTTGACCGCGTTCGCCAGCCCCGCCGTCCGGTAGGATTCTGCCACCCCCTGCACGTGCGTCCTGTAGCGCTCGGTCATGTCGTCGATGCCCGGGAGGTACTTGAGCTTGGACATTTCCGCGTCCGCCTCGAACATGTCGCTGTTTTCGTATCAGGGTTAGGAACAGGACCAAGATCAATACAAGAAGGCGGTCGGCATGTCCTACCACTGATGTGCCAGCGCACTATGTACATAAGTGGTTCAACCAAAACATTTTGCCATGTACAACTCCGCTCACTTGAAAATAGTGGTACTCATCGCACAAAAATATTCCCACTTACATCAGTGCCTGAAAAGGGTCTTGGTGGTGCTACGCACACAGTTTTCGCACTCGCCTGAAAAGAGTTTTTGTGACGAGAAGGTTGGCTTTTCTCAGCACCTCGGTCTCGCTCTCGGAAGCCCGCTCCCGCCCCAACTGCTCTTCCTCCAGCGCCTGCCCGCGACGACCCGCCCGCAACAAGCGCGTCATACCAACGCCGAAGTTAGTTGTACGAAAGGAAAACAAGAAGTGTTGCTCAACAAAACAAACGAGACAGTGCGATGAGACCAACTACAGAGTGTTTCGCGGGTTCTGTGAATCAACAAGTCTCGCAGGAGGCCTAGTCACGTTTTTTTGTACGTGTGTATCACGTACCGTATTCCGTTCTCGAAATTAGACTTGATGGGTCTTGTACTAGTCGCCCTTCTTGCGGCAGTACCGTATGAGGGAGGTCAATATGCGTCGTAGCGTTCTCTGCCGAACCGCGGTGCTTCATCTCAGCCGTTTGTACCAAGAAACATGCGTGCATGGTAAACTCAACGCTTTGTAAACTTCTGCCTTTACTCTTTGCACATTTCGTGACGCCACACGCGGTTATACAGCTGTGTCGAGAAGTACGGCGAGCACGAGAACCGACCTCCGTGCGTGTTCAATGATACCACTGCCACGAACCTCTTTCTCCTGAAGTTCCAGCAGCTCGTCTTGGTACTGTTCCTTGGCCTAGCCGAACGTCGAGCAGGGTACAGGCGAGGGATACAAAATCGTTGGTTGCGAATCGGACACGACCGAATCCCACTCCCTCGAAGGGAACAACAGCTCACGCACACCCACCGGTGCCCTTTGAGCACTGCCGCAAGACAAAGCGTCGACCAAAGAGGTATTTGATAGAAACCTATCATGTCTTGACGGGAACACTTGACTGTCGGTTGTCGTGGGTCCGATTGGCGGACGAAACGTGCCATCTTCATGGAAAAAATAGAGACGAAACAGTTGCCACCGCTAAACCAGACCACATGACAAGTAGAAGTGTTGTGCGTGTAGAGTTTCATCAGCAAACAAACGCCGTCCTCGCCAACAAGTCCGGGCGAACGGACCCGTCCCTAACGAAAGTTCGCAGCACACCACCGCACCTGTAAGACCTCAGCGGGGTCGACAGTGCCGTAGTCGTGGTATGTAATGTTCTTGATGTACGCCAGGACGGTAAAGCGGTACTCGACCTCCCGGCACACCGGATTACCCTGCCAATTCCAGAAAAGTGTGTTCGGTACGGTCATTATCGTCGTCATTGACACGGCCGCCCTTCCTTTGATTCCAAAGGTGTCTTGTCGGGTTCTCGAAAACGACTTATCGTTAGTCGCTCGCAGAGAGAGGGTGAAGCGATGCCGCCGTAGAAAACGTGCGACTCGATCAAAGCCCTGGTAGGAACTTGGGCTAATTAAGTGAACGACGACAACAACAACCTTGCAGAGAGTCAAGACCCACCTAAGCTGGCTACTGAAGACCCGCACCTCTAGGTTGACGAGCTTGAGCTTGGGATATCGACGAAGGCGAATAATGCTGTCCAAGTTGGCGATGCGGTTGTTCCCAAGCGAGAGGCACTGGAGGTTTGAGCACGAATCCAGACCTTCGATCTCGCTTATCTGAGGAACGGTTTTTCCGCGCATGGTTCATACGCTCGGTCGAAATTTTGTTTGCGTGCGCTACGTAGGAGAGTGGTGTAGGTGAGACTGCTCGAGGACGGGGAATGGGAGGGCGGCGGTAGAAGAGGCCCTCCATATGTTTCTTTGATGTGGCCCATAGTTAAAATCGAAGGTAATGGTACGACAGCCGGACAGCAGTCACACCGGAATATCGACAAAGCAAAACGTCGCTCTAACTATATACCTGGTACATAAGTAGAGTTGTTTATGTGTACCAATTTCTCCCCCTCTCTGGCTTGCGCGTGCGGAATGCGCGACAGTCGTCGTTTTTGCATTTTCCTCTCTCTCTCTCTCTCTCTCTCTCTCTCTCTCTCTCTCTCTCTCTCTCTCTCTCTCTCTCTCTCTCTCCCTTTCTCTCTATCTCGCACCCACCTGGTTGTTGTAGAGGCTCAGGTCCATGAGCTCAGTCAGCTTCTCGAGACCGGTGATCGTCTTGATGTTGTTGAACGACAAGTCCAACCACTTCAGGTGGACCAAGTGGTCCAGGTTGCTGACAGGGTTTTGAGGGGAAAGGTGGGCACACGCCAAACGACTGCCCGTTTTTCTATGTTGAATGTGTACAGTGTAGATCTACAGGCTGGCAGAAAAGACCGGGCGGCGGTGTCTCCACGACATATTATTAGTACACTGCATACGAAAGGAACCCAAATCCTAGCGTGCGCCTTCCCACATATACTATATATCTCACAACCTCTTGCAGCGAGAAATATTTCGATCTACACCACACATATAGATACCAGTATCTCACAACGGGCCGAGCCTTCGTCAAACCTGATGCTCTCGATGATGTTGTTGTCAAGACAGAGCTTGGTCAATCGAGAGAACCCTTGCAAATTGTCGATCTTCAACACATTCTTGTATGACAATCTCAGAGTCGTTGCCTCTGCCACGACCTGTAATAAGATGAGCAAGTGGGTTCGTCTTAATGGCAAACATAGGGCTCCACATATACATGACAGAAATGGAGGGGGGTGCGTTCGCGTGTTTGTCTCCGCTCCGTCTGTACGTGAGGCATGATGGGCTTGTTCATAATCATTAGGTATGTATGTAGCAGTTGTCTTCAATGAATAGTCTTACTTTCCGCGTCGCGCGTCGTAGACTTTTAGATTCGTTCTTAGATTCCGCACCGTCTTTGCTTGATGAGTGCAGACTTTGTCTACAGTCTACAATACTATTTTATTTGGTAGACGTAGATCGAAGACACGTCAGTCTTCGACATGGCCCCGCCCTTACCTGCGCTAACTCGAAGGTTGTCATCGACGAAATGTGCTGGTCGCCGTCGGCTTCCTCCATCAGCGCCCCGCCGATCAAGTCTTCGTCGATCACCGCCGTGTCAAGGTGGTCGATCCCCTTTTCAGATGCGAGTCAATTAGTTTCAGAAAAGAGTCCAGAGGAAACAGAAGATGAAGTTTGCACATGCATGTGCTGCGCCTGCCTGTGTCTCCGCTAGCACATCTATCCCGTCAAAATTGAACATCCAAAAAGTGGATACTGCTGCCTCGACAAAAGAATACCCGCTGTCGGCCGCATTTTGCCGCAGTACAACTTTGGCGGGATGGAGAGAAGGCGGGGGGTGTTTTTCAGCCCCATCTGTCTCACCTTCGTGCGACGCATAGTGCCTTAGCTTCTACCACGTGCCCCTGCCCTGCGAACCTCTGTAAGCAGCGACGTGGTTGTCTACTGGCGGTCGCCTCGTGAAAGAAAAGAACTCCGACGGTTTCAGCATCATCAGCAGACACATTTATCCGTAAAAGAACGCCTTCCAAATCTGTTCGTCGAGTACTCGCGGATGCGAGGAATTGGCCACTTTTTGACAAGTGCGAGGGCAAGACGGACAACTGTTGGCGAGTCCAGGTTGCAGCCCAAGCTCTTCAACCCAGCTGGGTTCGTCTTGAAGAAAATATAGTGAGGAATCGACAAGAAAAAAAAAGTCCGCCTTTTCATAGATCGTATGCACAACATACGTCTTCCTTGCCTCTTTACTCCACGATGAAAGTGGTGATCTCCGATCTGGTGTAACGGAGATGTCGTTCACTTCGCCGTGCGAGAACCCCTCTGGCTGCATTGTGTGCCAATTGTTTGTGGGTATCCACGAGCGCGAGCAGTCGTCCAAATAACGTCGTCCAGCCTACCCGTAAGCTCTGACGTTGGTTTCAGCAGATTTTTTTTTGTCGTTTTTCAATCTTGATGAGGTACCCGAGTCTCCGGCATGTGGAGTAGCACCACCTCGAGTTTGAAAGGTTGGGGGCACTTGACCAGAGGATTTCGTTTCCGCCTGGGTTCCCGGACGAACGAAAACATGTAAACCACGTAATAATATTTGGAACAAATAGATCTGCAACATGGACTGACAATAGAGCATGCTCTGCGGGGTGCGGTGGGATACCCTCCTCGTCAGGCACAACGAGTTCTCTTCTTCGAAGCTCAAGGGTAACTGATTTTCATTGGATGAAATAAAAAACCAAACCATCAAAATCTCGTACATAGTCCTGCACCGACCGGACTCCAACATCAAGTATGCAAGCCGGTTCCCTCTCAAGTCAGTCCCCTGACGAAACAAGCGCACTCCAATCAAAACCCTCCAAAGATACGAAGAAAAAAACACCCTGGACACCTCCCCACTCCAACACCCCGCGCCCCCCCCCCCCCTAAAGAAGTAAAATTAACAACGTCTATTACAAGAGCGGCGTTCTAGTCAGCGCGGCGGGCTCGTGGGTGACAGAACAGCAGCCCCACTTCCTTTCGACACGTACGGACCAATCTGATCTGATTTCCTATCCGCTCAGCGGGCGCCTCTAATGCACACACCAAAAATAGAAACTCACGCTTCTGACGGCAAAGAGACGGCAAAGAAGAATACCCTACAACTTTTCTCCGCGGGCAAGGACTGAAACACCCAGCGAGTAAAGCAGAACCCGCAGTCTCGGCGGGCGCCGTTTCGTTCAACATCCAACCGGAACCTATTACTCCGCCACAAACTCGACCGCGCCTTGTCCGCTGCTCTTTTTGGAGGAAATCACAGCCGCGAACTTTTCTTCCACATCCGTGAACCGGCTTGGTCCCGCCGGGAGATCGGCCACCCTGCACAACATCCAGCAGAGAAAGATGCCACGCGCGCAGGCGGCGGCGGCGGGGGGGGGGGGGGGGGGGGGGGAAACCCCCGGGCAAAAAATTTCGGGGGGGGTTTTTGGCCAAAAAATTTTTTTGGGGGCCCAAAAAAAAAACCCCCCCCCCTTTTGGGATTT